ACGCAATGGATGCTGTTCTCTTTTAACTAAGAGGACTTTATTATAAAATATCTGTTTTCACTAGGTTTCATAAATAACATGTTAAATTCAAAGTAAAACAACAAAAAACATCCACCTCTTTAATTCTTCCTACATCCAGCCTGACTCTAAGACCCGTATCATAATTCCTGTTCTGTTCTATGTTGGTGAACCCAGCAAGGGAAGGAATGGTACTAAAGTCTTCCCCATCACTGTATCTTAAGATGCATATGCTACATAGAAGAAATATAAAAATAGCAAGTTATTCTACAAGGAAGAGATGCTAACACTTTTATTTCATGCTGGTTAGTCACAGGGTATAAAGAAAATAGTGATACTGCTTAGGTTGGAAGTACTGCAGAATCCACAACAGACAAGTGCAACTTCAGCAGACACTGAATAAGCACAGGAATCTATATGATCTGCAAGGTGTAAACTGGCACTCACAGATTCAACTGAGCAGATTTTGAGGCTGGGATAAATAGTCCACTACTCTACTAAGCACACCTGAGATCTCTGATTAGTGCCCATGCTTCCTAAAATACCTGCAGAGAGAGATAAATGCTTTCAAGACACATCACCAACACAATTTCTTCCAAGCCTCCACTGCTTTGACTGCCATCAGGAGGGAGCTTTCTCTCTCTTTCTCTCCCTACACTGGCAACACAAAGAGCTTAGCCCTCCAGCAGAGAAATCCAAACACTGTGTACCTCTGGCTTTTCCTACCTTAGGAGCTATGTAAAAAAATTTGTTTTCATCAGGAAAAAAACCAAAAACAACTACTACTAATTTGCCTTAGCTTTATTGCGACCCTTAATTTAACTAAGTGTTCCTGAAAGACCACAAAGAGAGAGACATGTTCATGAGATGCTGCCAAAACATGGTGGGCTGGCGGTGATTTGGATTCAGTGTGTCCACAGCACTCTTTTTCCTAACTGAGCTTTTAAAGTAGCAAAATAAAGAATTCTGAGCGAAAGCTGCCAAAACATTAAATGAAAATTTCCAGAAATACAAAGAACTCTTAATTTCCTTAATTTTATCTTATATATTAAAGTATCTTATTTCCATGCTTTTAAGTTAGTGGGTGGCTACACTGCTCTACAAAACACAAGCAGAAAACAAAATTCATTTGAAAGGAAAAGGAAAATGCACTGTGGTGAAAAGGGGAAGACAAAAACATGGAGAAATTCTACAACGTCTTTAAAAGAGGAAAAAAGCAAGAGGCAGGAATGTCTACATAGCTGTTTTTACCTCCATGTACCTACTCCATTCCTCAGCAATTCAATATCCTGCCTCCATAAAAGTTGTCGTCCAGGAGCAGTGTAACACTACGGGACATGCTACCAAGAATGGCCCATATCATTTACAGCCTGATTCAGTTCCAGCTGGAGTCACGGGAAATCTTGGTGATAGGAATGACCAACAATCTGCTAGAGCTGTAATCAGGAAAATGTAACAAGTCACCAGCACCATCCAGAAAGGTACAGAAAGGATGGCCACTTATGCAGGAAGATTCTTTTCTCCTCTTCAAGTATAGCAGCAGCTAGAGTGAGAGAGAGGGAAATACAGAAAGTCTTGATCTCAATTTAATTGAAAGTCAGTGCAAATATATCAACAAAGCTCAGGCAATATTCAGAGTTCCATATGCCCTACAGCTGAGCCTCACAAGCTGTGGCTTGTGGCTCTACTGTTGAAGCTTTTCCTTCAACTTCTCAGCTTCTTCTTCTTTACATGTATACATCAGCAACCACACTAGCTACTCTAGCTAAAACCCTGCACTTTAGCCTTTTCTTCCCCCTTCATTCAGACATATTACATGCCAAGATGAAAACCGCAAACGCATGCATGATTCTTATCCCTCTACTTTCAGTATCTTATTTTTTTAAATCTCTTTCTTTCTTTTTCTTTTAAGGCAGCATAGTTTATACCCATGTGAACAACTGCTGTGCAACATTATCAAGTCTTCCCTCTGTCTCTTTAATTTGGTTTGGTGCGGGATTGCATTTCACGTTTGTAGATAACCAATCTCTACACTCACCAGCAATCTTCTCAAATCAGAAAAAGCAAACACTGCAGTGTATTTCTTTTTAGCTAATTTGCCTGAACATTTCACAGAAGGATAAATCCACCTTGGGTTCAGCATGTTTGCATTTGGATCTCAACAGTCTATTTAAAAAATGTTGTAAATGGGAACTTTTCTTTCCCAGAGTTTTATATACAGTACTTGTCTATATACTGAAGCATGGGTGTCTAGTTGCAGATAAAGATGAAGTTACAAAAGACTTAGAGTGAGCAGACAGTATTCTAAGTGCTTTCAGATGATGTGAAAGACAAGAGCCACCATGGAGTTTTATGATTCACTTGGTAAAATTCCCAGCAACTTGCATGATAGTTTTTGGTTTGATACCAGCAAACAAACAATTTGCTGAAAAACACTTCCGAACATTTAAGATCTTGTTTTATCTACTATGATTTAGATGGGAAATTAAAATTTGCCTCAAATATTTTAATTATACTCGTTACAATACTTATGTCTTTAGTGCATTTTCCTTCCTATGGACCTAAGACAAATGAGGTACACGTGTATACACATGGGAAAGGGGGCTGGATTGTGAAAAGCAGTGCTCATCCCATCCATAAACATCCTATCTCTGCTTGGTTCATACAGCTATTCCTGAGATAGAATCCCTGTAAGGGCAGTCAAGGATCCTCTTCTTATAAAAACCAGAGCCAGTGAGAAGCCAGAAAGCATATCATGTGAATCAGGGCCAGTAATTGTGACCAAATGTTGAACAAGAAATACTCAAAAGATATTTGCTCTGGAGAGAGTGCAGATGCCCATAGATATGCTTTCTGAACATAAATATAACAAGGTATGCTGAGATTTTTGGAAGCTGGGAAGGGATTTGGAAAACCCAAATCCCATTGCATTTCATTCCTTCAAAAATATCATCCTTCACCATTATGACGAAAGTACAAATACATCTGTAAATATCAAGAATTCATTGTGGACCGTTTAGTAATTAAAGTCAGCTCAAATCTGTTTAATAACAGAATTGCAAATAAAAATTCAATAAGCCATATTCTGTCTATCACTACGTATCATTTATATTACCTCCCATTTGCAGCTCTCGTCTGAAGGATGCTACTCCAAACTAAACAACTTGCATACTGTAACTCTGACTTGCAGATATACAATTACTGATGTAAGTATGATTCTATTAAAAATAACTTTTGTTTAGGGAAAATCAGGGTAATATTTACATTTTCCAATTCACAGTGGTAATGGTTTCCTCGTTAACTGATTTTCAGTGAAATCTAAGGAATAATTTAATAATCTAATAATCTAAACTTCCTATACATGGACAAATAAATAAATAAATAAAATCAGAGCAATTCTTAGGCTATCAGGACAATGGGAGAGAACTACCTGTTGATACTTTCTGCATTTAAATATATTAGCAATTTACTTCTTTAATTTAACTACAATTTACAACTGTACACTCTACTCATCAAAGTCTTCCCCTTTTCCCTTTTACACTCCCTTATGGCTATGGGGGATGAGGAAGGATGCATAGCACACATTTTGTTTCTGAAATATGTTGATTCATCTCTACTAGAAATAAAAGTCATATAAGAATACAGCCTTGTAATGGGAGTATTTTTGCATACCGGTGAGTGATGATGTGTGCATATATTCAATTTATAGGAAAGATTTGATTAGAGAGATAAAAAAAAAAAAAAAAAAAAAAAAAAAAAAAAAAGGTCTGACGTTCAACAAATATGCATGATATTCCAGAAAGAAGAAGGCCCACAAAAGGCATTAATCCTTCACGGTGTATGCAAATAAATGGCATTGCATTTCTTGCTGATTACACTGAACATATGGCTGTTCGTGTTTGATACCATATTAACAGCTTTAGTAATACTAACATACAGTTAATTAGATGTCACTAACATCCTATGAACAAAGAACTATGGTGGGTTGGGATTTGGTTTGGGAAGTGAAGGAATAAAATAAATACTATACAGCCCTGAGTAATCACCAGTAAGGGGCAAATGCAAACTTGCATACTTATTAGGTCTCAAGGTTTCTAATGACGTCCACAACTCCACAATAAGTGACATATTGATAGCTAAAAATATATACTCTGGATTAGGCAGCTGTGAATTTTTTGACAAGATGACTGCAGACTTTTCAATGAACTTTGTTTCTAATGGCAAGTGCATGTGAAATATAAGAAAAGCATTTGTACATTAACATTAACCAAAATCCACAGGGCTTCCTTTTGGTACACAGCAGTTCACATGTTTGGGCCTACAGTCTTCCCATTTATTTTCTGTCAGTCTACAATGAACATACTAATTTTGTGCTAACACACTGTATTTTGCCAATTAAGGTCCTGGGGTTTGGGTTGGGTTTTTTTTTTTTTCTTTTCTTTTTTTAGGTTTTTTCTCTTTGAAAATGATTATGAAGCTAAAATATATTTTTGAAAGCCTAGTTCTCTGTTCTCTTTTAAAGAGTCTTATTTTTGTAACTTAGCAAATGCATTCCTAATTCTTTTTGTCTGTGTCATACTACATGCATACCATATTGCTTATCCGGTACTAGAAAATCATTAAACATTTCTAAGGACAAAAGTACATTGAATGATACTTAGCAACAGAAATTAGAATAACCAAAATTATAAAATAATCAGATACAAAATAGCATAGTTGCCAACATATATTGGGGCTGTTTCAGTACAGCTTGCCATTTATATAAAGCATACATAAATGGCTATTTTTTCTCCTGTTCAACAAGACATGTTTTAAAAAGATGGTTGAGAGCATACTAAGTTTACCTATTCATGTACAAAAGTACATTGAGAAAGGGGGAGGTTTACATATCATTTACTATAGCAGGATACTGTTAAAGGAAATATTCTCCCTCTAAGATGGTGGCAACTATTTTTCCCTATAGATAAGTGTTCATGGAAAATTTAAACATCTGATTCAATGCTAGGCATTTTCTTATACACACGTCTATTGCTACAGGAATTTAAAACCCTTGGAGTTGAATACACACTATTCCTATTTGCAACATAAGGCAAAACATGCTCTGAAATGTACATGTCATTATGGATCCGACCATCCCTGGAACAGTATGATGCTGTAGACTTTATGGATGACCTGAAATAATTATCATTTCTTCCTCTGGATGGTAACGAATATTTATAAAGATCAGCTGGATTTCGCCTAAGAGATAAGTGCTGGTCGTCACGATACGAGTGCAGAAAGGGATTATCTTCTGAGTGAACGGGATACAGGGACTTGCTCCTCTTACTGTCCTCTAGAGCATGAGTTAAAAGTGAGGCTTTGTTGCTCAACAGTTTGCTTGAGGGAACACTAAACATGCTTGCATATGGACTACTTTGGAGAAACTTCTCTTTATCTTTCAAGCTTATACTACGAGAAGGTCTTCCAAGATCAATTTCCCTGGACTTATCGGCAATATTATCAAAAGAATGTTGCCTGCTAATCCTCAACTTGTTTTTTTTATGATATTGCAGAGCATTATTCTGTGACCAACTATGGTCATATATTTCTTCAGGAAGTGATAAGTTCGTTGTGTCCTGCAGCATCTGATCTTCCTCAATATCATAGAGGTTCCCCATCCGCAAGCATGCATCACATTTATAGGGAGATCTGCCTGAATAATGTCCCGCATAAGTGGGCAAATTGGAAAGACAGCTCCTACAGTGGGTAGAATTCTGTCTGTATCTATCATTCATGTCAACTAGGGAAGCATTTTTATCTTTTAAACTGTAGTGCTTTGCATAAAGTTTATATTGATCATTATTTGGAAGACTGTCTTCGTTATGCATGGGAGTCCTGTTAGCATGTTCTGCTTTCCTGTAGTTGTCATTGTGATCTTGATAAACGTCAGGATAGTCTATAGTTTCTGGAAGGACAATGTTTTCGATATACTGGGGTGTGTCCAAGCGGAATCCGGGCTCCTTATCAGCATCAATTGTGTAGATTTTATCCCGTGGAGAGCTCTGCTTGGTTTTCAGATATGTCAGTTCCACTTCACTACAGTCTTTTGGGTATTTTGATGCTACTGTTCTTTTTTTAAAATTGTCCTTGGTTTTGTGGTGCTTATTGTTGTTTTCAGGTTCCATATGGCAAGTAGCCCGGCTTGATGTCTCTGATACATCTGAATGGACAATCTCTTCAGGAAGATATCTTTGGCTTTTCACTGAAAGCTGCCGGTTTTCATCTGACCCGTTTTCCCTCTGGGAACCTTGACTCTGACGTACAGATTCTTGACGTAAAGATTCAACAGACTTCCTCCAAAGTTGCCTGGGTCTGGAGTTTACTTTTGCTTCTGTTGTTACTGCAACCTCTACTGTGTTTGGGTTGGACTCATTCAGTGTGAGAGGATGCTGACCTTGGAAAACATAGTTGTTAAGATTGTCCTTGTGTCGATTGCCAGGAAGTGTCTGCAGTTCACTCATGTTTTCACCAAAAAAGTTGTCCTTTGTCTGAAAGGATCTGTTATCAGAAAAGATCAAGTTTCCCTTATCCATGACCATGTCCATAATCAAGGAACCCCTCTGAATAAAATCAGCTGTTCTTTTGGGGGAGTTAATTCTTGAAGGATTTATATTGGTCATATTTTTCGCTGTTCGTAGTAGTTTTAACATGTTGGTTTGGGAATTGGTCAAAGTAAAGTCAGGGGACTTCTTTTTTTCTTCAATGTGTACTCCATGAATGCAGCTATAAATACCCTGTAATAAGAAGTACATAAAACAAATTAAATTACTATATGTAAATTTTAAATACTTTCATTCTGATTTCATTGGCAATAAAACATTGCTTATTTAATGAGTAAAAGGCATACACCTATTCTTGTAGTATTTGTTTAGATCTATATGGAAGAATAGTTTCTGCCATAATCCACTGGCAGTGTAAAGGAGGATTGCCAGTATTTTACAAACCTGTGCTCTGTGTTGGCCTCCCATACATTATTCCAGACAACAGGATTATAGGGGACCTCAAAAAGTTCCCTAATACCATCGCAAAATATAACTAACCTTCATTAATGGAAATTCTATTTTTCTAAAGCAATGATTAAATTACTGTTCTAAAAGAAGCGTGAAGTAAGGCTACTGGAAGTTATGGTACTCTTCAGTTCTTTCTAAGCCTGAAATTGAGTTCATCTGGGACAAAAGGCCTCAAGTCCATCCTGTATGTAACTCTTACCTGTTTAATGGCTCTTGTGAGTTCGAATGATATTCTGGATTCTGTGAAAGTTCCCTTTTACGTAAGTATTTTTCACCAGAGAAAATTGAGTTTCACACTGAAGCCCAAAGTATTAATTTCAAATGCAAAACGTGAAGATGTAAGCATTTATGCTTTACTAGGCAATCTCCAACAGGCTAGGGCAGAGTGTTTTAGTGCAGTTCCAATACAACCAAATTTACTCTAAAAGGTAATTTTAGTACATTTTTTAAGAAACTAGGCATTTTTAAAATCATTTTCTGTTCTCCTCAGCTATATACAAGCACCTGCGAAGTCCATTACTTAACGAAGTGCTACATTTAAAAAAATTAAATAAGAAATATAAATTTGTCAAAAGGCTTGAGAACAAGCACCTACTTCCTTTATCTTACTGCTCATATTAATTATTGGGATATGTAAATCTGCTTTGGATTTGGTACTATTAAAAATTGCCTTACTGTCTAACCAAACACAAATGATACTTGTGTTCAACTCTTTCTCTTATATAAGTTAGCTATCAAGAAAAGCCTAATTAAAAACTAGTCTAGTACTTTTATCACTTAAAATCTCCTTGTTTATGAACTACACAAACCTCAGAGTTAACATCTGTCACTAATTTAGTGCTTATTTTGTTGGTTGTTGGGGTTGGTTTTGTTTTTTTGGTTTTTTTTTGGGGGGGGGGGTGGAAGAGGAGAGGATCGAGGAAGGGTGAATCTTCTTGAATAT